GCTGTACCAATCTCTCATGAAGATAAGTTAGAGGATCCAAGCCTTGAATGACCTTTTCAGGTTGAGAAGGGCAGTTTGAAGGCTTTTTAAATATTGAATCATCTTTAATTCCAGGCTTGATGTTGCTAAAGATCTGAGAAACAGCTACTTGCTGTGGTGTCTTACCAGCAACAGGCAAGGTTATCGATTCAAAAACAGGTAGACAGCCTTTGTCGGTTACAGCCACAATACCAGCAGTTTTTCGATCAGTAGACGAAAAGCTGAATAAATCATAATTTAATTTTAAGCCAAGTACTCCACTTCCAAGGAAATTTGCAGTCTTCGGAATACACAGATTGGGGAATTTTCCCATCAACTTGCTAGTAGTACACTTCTTACCAATCACAAGGTATTGAAGACCAGCCTTATAGTCGGAAATGACGGTGATATTGCTTTTGGAAGTGGTGATGCTCTCGTCAACCCTGTATTTGCCCATTTTGGCATCGAGGTAGACATGTAATTTAGCAGCGAAAGTAATATTTTTTTGAGCTTTACCCTTTCCCATAGAATCAAAGCCTCCTTGCAATATCATACCAGACCATTGGCCAGGCACACAGCAAGGCTTTTTCGAGGCATATACTGCAGAGCACAGGATAGCTAAGAATATCAACGAACGCAACATTTTCCAGCTGGAACGAATAACGAATAATGTCCTGACCTTGCTGCTCGTTTGAATTTATAGACATTCCATACGTAAGGCCGTACGCAGCTCACATGACGATTTTCCAGACAGCTCCACTCTACAGTACTGTGCTATGGAGTGGCACTCCATAACACGGATACTCACAACTCAGTATTGAACTGTTACACTGGTATTGGACAGGACTGGACGCCGGTACAGTATACTGACAACAACTGAGATCAAAAGAAAGAAAAACTCGATCAGCACTTGACAGGCAGATATGACGTCATCGCTCCATCGAAATACATTTCGACTGCCTCTCCCTATGTTTGGAGTATTGACTGTACCACTAGCCCTATATACGAGCGTATGATTGCATGGCGCAATCAGTTTCCATGGTATTACTTCATTAATAAAGATACAGACTCTGCAATCGAGAAGATTACTTATGTCTATCTTTAAAACTAAAACTAAGAATCAGGAAATATCCTATTGGAGTTACTGCATTTACCGTTAACTCTATTGAATACTGTATGGTGCAATCAATTTCCATGGTATTACTTCATTAATAAAGATACAGACTCTGCAATCGAGAAGATTACTTATGTCTATCTTTAAAACTAAAACTAAGAATCAGGAAATATCCTATTGGAGTTACTGCATTTACCGTTAACTCTATTGGATACTGTATGGTGCAATCAATTTCCATGGTACTACTTCATTAATAAAGATACAGACTCTGCAATCGAGAAGATTACTTATGTCTATCATTAAAACTAAAACTAAGAATCAGGAAATAATATTCTATTGGAGTTACTGCATTTACCGTTAACTCTATTGAATACTGTATGGTGCAATCAATTTCCATGGTATTACTTCATTAATAAAGATACAGACTCTGCAATCGAGAAGATTACTTATGTCTATCATTAAAACTAAAACTAAGAATCAGGAAATAATATTCTGTTGGAGTTACTGCATTTACCGTTAACTCTATTGAATACTGT